ATATGAATAGGCCCTAAAGCTGAAAAATTCCTGAGCTTATCAATTGTAACGGCTTTTAAGTAAAGCAATCATAAAAAAAACAACAACAACAACAACGACAACAAAAACAAAACTTGAATTTGTCAATATTTCATTTACAATTATAGCGCCTTGGGCTCCTGTTGTCACCCAAACCATTAAAACCTGGTACAGCCAGGACAGGCGCAAGCAGAAACAAGCTAGGGAGTTTGCAAATCAGGCGAATTTGGCGAAGCTACCAGAGATAACCTGCCGTCGTAACAGTGTATATCTTAAAACTGTTGAACTTATGAAAACTGATTAAAACACCGATGAAAATAAAGTGTCAATTACTTTGCCTGGCCATGCTTTTTATGTGTCCACGATTTTTTCGACTCCTGATGGTCTAAGGCCTCGTCCACACTACGCCGGAGAAATTTGAAAACGCAGCTTTATTTTCACGGTTAGGCCTACAGTTTACACTAATCCGTCACGAAAACAAAGCTTTTCGAAAACGCTCTGCAAGCCGGAGGAATTTGAAAACGCCGGCTTTGCGTTTTAGGGTATACTGAAAACACCCGGGTGAAAACAACTTGAAAACGGAAGTTTTGAAAACAGTACCTTCCCAGTGATAATCACGTGATTAAGCTAACCCCAAGGGTGCACTCAAGCTTTCCTGCCGCCAGTGACTGTTGCGTTTTCAAACTTCTCTTGCGTAGTGTGGACGGAAAATATTTGATGCAATTTTTGGAGTGAAAACGTCGTTTTCAATTGTCTCCGGTATAGTGTAGACGGGGCCTAATCTTTGCCTATCGACGTTGACGAAAAGGAACACTTACATAGATTATGTTACAGCTTAGCTTTACACTGCACTAAACTAGCTCAGCTGAACGAAAATAGGCATTCAATTCTACATTGAATAAAAAACCAATCGGTTGCTCAGATTTTCATTTCAACTCTCCGTCTCCAAAAAAGTGATTCAAGCTATTTAATTTTGGTTGAGATTGTAAACGACGATCCTGAAAAATTTAGGTTAAACTTTTCAAGATGCGCAAACCGTGGCGAAGCTCCTTTAAGTGTTTTAGAAAACAGCCCAAAAAAAATGCGCACACTGATTGGTTGTAGGAGGTCGATTCCTTAATTCACTTTGATGATCTTCTCGGTTGCGTCATTCAATTATCCAGTGGCATTTATCAATTTTCGTTTTAGATTTCACCGACAGCCTTATTCAGATCTCCGTCAGTTGCGATCCATTATTTCTTTGTCTTTTTATTTTTCTTCTTTGGTGGTTGTACTGTTATCGCTTTCTTCTTCATCCATTTTGTGATTAGTGTCTGAAGGTTGCAGCGGCCGCCTACGACGGCGACATTACGGAGCACTTCACAACACCTCCGAACGTGCGCTTTCGAACGCCTTCTAGTTTGCTCCTGACCAAATTAGTTTTGTATTGGCAAATCTTGTTTTTACTTTTACTGCACTTTTAAGTTGTGACTCCATAGTGTAAACAGAATTAATTGCGC